TATACTGATTTTGTCTATATAGTATTACATTCCAATATTTACTTTCAGTTGCAAGATGGCACAGCAACTGTCCAACTCAAGTTTTAGCTCCCATGTTAGCAGAATTATTGATACCTTATTGCTTATAAATTTCACTGTAATCTTATCAACTCTCCCTAACCACAGAGTTTTAAGGAAAAATAAGTTAAGAAACAAGTCACTAAGGTAAGGTTTACTCAAGCTTTTTCTTTTCAAAATGCTATAAGGCACTACACAATTCCTGGGATAAGGGCACTGTCTAAGCAAGTCATGCTACTTATACACAAGATAGAGAGAAAATTTCACACACTTCAATAAATTGAATTCCTGAATTACAGTTAGGACAGACAGGGGCATAGGATGCTTGACTGGAAAGCAAAACAAGAAAACTTTACTGAACACTCATATGCATTTAGGTGCAAAGTCATAACAATGGCTTTACCTGCATCTTCATAGGAGATGCACCACAGAAAGACAAGTTTAAACATATCTGAGGTACTTTACCTCTCCATAAGAATTTTTCAGCACAACTTTCACATCTTCACCAGTGCCCCAAGAAGTCTCATTCTTCCAGATGAGGTCACTAGGAGGGTTGGCAGCAACACCAGAATCTGAAGCCCAGATCTGTTAAAAGAAGTCACATGTGAGCATTATTTGCTAGTCTTACACATTTCCATGTTATTTGAGTTAATGTATTCCATTTAAGTGACACTCGTGAATCTCCCCCAGTTAAGAAAATACAAGTCTCTACATTCTTCCAAAGTCTTTTACAGTAAAAAAATCCCTACTTTAATGCAGAGTTTTGAATATGTAAATGAACAAATTTATGGTCAAAGTTACTGCTCTACATTGAGACTTCCTGAAAAATGAGTCTGTCAAACTTCTTCCCAGCAATTGATACAACTGATTCCCAATACAAAATGTAGGTGATTGGTTTCTGAACATGTACTTAGAATAGACAAAACTAAAAACCTGGTCTTGTTGACACAGAACTTGAACTAAGCCCATTTCAACTAACAGCTCAAGCTTGACAACTTACTGTAACAGTCTGACCCGCCTTTAGTGTGTATTTTAAGGTAAATCTGTAACTGACAGAACTGTTCCCTATTTTTCGGATCATCTCCCAGCCTCCCATAGGTTGATCCTAATGAAAAGGAGAAAAAGTTTCCATCAGCAATCATTTTCTGTTACACATACAAGTATTTTACATATAAGGCTGTGAGGCACAAAATTTTCAGTAAAAGTATTTATCACTTGATCTCCAGTATGCAGTTAGAATAATTTTAGTTAAATTTGTTTTACTTATTTCAAGTTAATGCTGCTTTTTAGTTCTGATGTTGTATTAATTGATATTTATAGTTTGCACCACTTTTGTTATAGCTTGGTTCAGAAAAATACATGAATATTTTAAATCCCTTTGCAAATTATATAATAGTTGTTTGAAACACAGAATGACAACCAGGCTTCTTCAAAAAAATATTCTTTTAGTTATTTTAAAATGTATTTTCACATGTGCTCACCTCTCACCACATACTCCTATGCAAGACCAACAGAATTTTTCCTGTCTTTTTTTTGCTTATCAACTACTTCAAAAGCACTAATATAATAAGCATAGAAATCATTACAGAATGAGTACTTCAAAAGAAGGGTAGACTTTAAATTCTCCCACCAATGGTTTCCAAAAATTGAACAGTTGCCACTGCAGTTTGAAAACAGTCACCTAAAAAAAAAGATTTCTATCTTTGACATATGTATCACCATCTAGAGGAGTCTGTCTCTTCATGTATCCTCATGGTCACAGGCCAGGCCTGGTCCTCATGGGAGACTTCAACCACTCTGATTTGCTGGAAAGGCAACATAGCTAAACACACTTCAGTCCAGAAGAATCCTGCAGAACACTGAGGATAACCCTCTAACACAGGTGGTGGAGGAACCTATGAGGAAAAGTGTACTGCTGGATCTTGTATGAACAAAGAAAGTGATTAGGGTTGTAAGGGATAGAGGCAACCTTGGCTGCAGTGACCACAAGATAGGGGAGTTGAACATCCTGCATGGAAAAAGAAATAAGTAGAATTACAACCCTGGACTTCAGAAGAGCTAAGCTGAGTCTCTTTAAAGAACTACTCAATGAAATACTATGGGTTAGGACTCTAGAAGATAGGGGCATCCATGAGCTGGTCAATATTCAAACACTGCTTCCTCCAGGCTTAAGGTCAGTGTGTCCGTCTAAGTAAGAAATCAAGGAGAGGAGACAGGAGACCTGCAGGGATGAGTAAAGGTCTTCTGGAAAAACTCAAATGAAAGGAGATTTACAGAATGTGGACTGGTCACTTGGGAAGAATGTAGGAATGCTGTCAGAGCATGCAGGGATGCAATGCCAAAAGCTAAGGCCCACCTGGACTTAAGGCAAGGAGTATCAAAGACAACAAGCAGGGCTTTTTTCAGTATATTGGTTAAAAAAAAGGAAGACTAGGGAATGTGTGGGCCCACTAATAACTGAGATGGGCACCATGTGGACAGGAGACACAGGGAAGGAGTTACTGAATGCCTTCTTTGCTTCAGTCTTGACTGCTGAAGCCAACCCTCATGAATCCCAGATCCTGGAGGTAGGAAAAGAAGTCTGAAAAGACGACAACTTTGCCTTGTTAGTAAAGGACCAGGTTAGAGACCACTTAGCCAAACTGGACATCCATAAATCCATAAAGTTATTGGGAGTGGTCAGCATTGATTAAATGAGGGAAAATCATGCTTGCTCAGTCTGATAGCCTTCTATGCTGTCGTAACTGCTTGCTGATGAGGGATCCAATGAGGTTCAACAAGCCTAAATGTAAGGTCCTGCAAGGAGGAACAGCCCAGTGCTTCAGCACAGGTTAAGGACTGACCGGCTGGAAAGCAGCCATGAGAAGCATCTTGAAGTCTTGGTAGACAATAAGTTAACCATAAGCCAGAAATAGGTCCTTGTGGCCAAGGAGGCCAATAGTACCCTGGGACACATAAGGAACAGTGTGGCCAGCAGGTCAAGGAAGGTCATCTTTCTCCTCTATTCTACCCTACTGAGGTAGTGTCTGCCTCCAGTTCCGGGCTCTCCAGTTCAAGAGGGACAGGGAACTACTGGAGAGAGTCCAGCAGAGGGCAACAAAGATGACTGGGAGACGAGCATCTCGCTTACAAGGAAAGGTTACGAGAGCTGTGACTGTTTAGCCTGGAGAAGAGACTGAAAGGAGATCTTAGCAATGTCTAGAAATATCTAGAGGTGCAAGGAGTATGGAGCCAGACTCTTTTCAGTAGTGTCTGGTACAGGACAAGGGGCAATGAGCACAAAGTGGAATACAGGAGGTTCCATCTGAACATGAGGATGAACTTCTTTACTATGAGGGTGTCAGAGCACTAGAGCAGGCTGCCCAAGGCATCTGTGGAGTCTCCTTCTCTGGAGATGGTAAAAACCCATCTGGATGCAATCCTGTGTAATGTGCTGTAGGCAATCCTGCTTTAGCAGGGGGCTTGGACCAGATCACCTCTGAGGTCCCTTCCAACTCCAACCATTCTGTGATTCTGTGACTAGCAGAGACTGAGACATTTGGAACCAGACTTGTCTTTGTCATCTAAAACATCAAGATGAGCTGCCTTATAATGAAGTTAAAGGATCTGATGACATTGGACAAAGCCTGTGTGCCACTGAAAACAAAGAATGCAGCTCACACTTCCACATGAACCTGGGGCAGACAGCACAGGAGAAGGCAAGAATTACTGAGACCTTCTCTGAAACCAAAGCTGAAAGAAATTAGGTCTTGTAATATGGCATCCTAATAAAACAATGCTTAATTCTCTCTTCTCCCAAAGGCTTTAAGAAATCAGTCCTAAGTCTCCAATCTCTCCTGTGATGACATGCAGGAGTCCTGTGTCTATAGCACAGGACTTCTTAGGCAGAAATTTTAAGTAATGCTAGGTGCGGAGAGGGAGTCAGGGGTCACATGTACCAAATACAAGTTAGCATCATACTGAAAGCAGCATAAGGAAAAGTACCCTTTAATAAAAAAAAAGTGTGTTCCCAGTATAAACTCCAGCCTATTCACAGAATAAAATAATCTGAGTAATCATCATAAAGGTGGCTTTGGCTTGAGAACTAAGGACTACTAAAAACTGTGGATGAAGGCAAGAAAGAAGGAAAGGCAAAGAAGGAATACTGATTTAAAGGACCTACATGCAAGTCCAAGGCACCCAGGTCATTCCTTACATTTAGGAATTTATTTTACACCAGTATGTATTTTTTTAGTGGGGTGTTTACGGCCAAGAAAGTTTTTATAAGGCTTCTAAAGTAGACTAGTGTCTGCTTGCACTCCATCCTATCAGTGACAATGTTACCTTTACAGGCACATCACTTGCAAGGCAGAACTGAAGAGTGACTTAACACTTTGATGGGTAAGCAACTTAGCAACTAAAGTGCTGTGAGAAGCATTAAAATCTATTAGAAATAAGTAATTTTCAGTCCACGATACTGTATGAAAGCTTGTTTTGTGACACACTAGTTTCTTAGTGCCACCTCTTAGACACCATGCTTTAGCTCCAGGGTCAGCATGAAGCCTGTGGGCTGAATGGGTGCTGAGGATGCTTCCATCTCTCACCACCCCATTGTAAGGAAGTGCTATGTGTATGTTTTCAAACCTGTTTGGAGGTGTTCTTCAGCTGGATAAATTTTCCATCTACATCTATCTCCTCAATGGAGACACTGCCAGTTGTAGAAGCTAAGTGGGAAATGCTGACACTACTGCTAGCTTCAGATTCCTCTACATCAAGCCTCCTCCTCTTCCCCCTGGTTGTACAGACGCTGTGGCTTGATGAAGCCTGTGACACAGTCACACGGGAAGATGGGCTTCCAGAAAGTTGCAATCTGTATTGAAGAAAAGAAATATCCATGTATCACACTGGTTTTACTTTGTCCACTTTCATAAACTTTCTTCTTCTCTTCTCGTCTTATCATAGAATTATACAGAAAAAAGTACAGGAACATAGCAAACAAAGCACATTGCATGAGAAGCCTTAGGTATTTTTTAAAGAATTGAATAAAGTCTTGTCAGTTAGCTGACTAATACTTTTGGAGCTTGAATACCGACAGAATGCTACATTAAAGGCACCTCTATGCATTTGTTAAAGACTGCATTCCTGGGTAGATGAAACACAAAGAGAACACTCTCTGGGGGACTTAAGCCATTTGAGGAAGTTTATGCAAAAACCCAATGGCACAGGAGCTTTTGCTGTTTGATCCCCACACTTGAGAGGAACCACCCCGGACCAGTAGGATGGCATTCAGAAAACACTGAAGTATGAAGCTATTTTAAATGACAGCTGCGACTCACCAGGTGAGAACTTTCAATATTGTCAAAATCAGATGTGGAAAATGCAGCTAGCTGATAAGCTGGGCAACCATTAAAACTACTGCTTCATTAAAATTGTTCTATACTTAAAGAAACTTGGCTAACAATTAAGTAACCCCCTAATTAACTCTGAAAAATATTAATTATGGCACCAGAAAGGCCGACAAATGACAATTCAATTCATTGCATCCTCAGTGCTGAATCGTAACAGAAGGGTATTGCTCCCTTGAGAGGTATTGGTCTGCTACTCAAGCAGCTTGGTCTCATGGAGACTAGAAGCATGTGTGTAAAGACAGGAGAGGGCAAAACCAAAGTGCCTTGGAAACTACAGTAAGGCACTTAATGAATGCATTCCCAGTAAGAACTGCCTTTTCACAGAGAAGAAAATTAAGGGAAGCACATGGATACCAACATTTGTTGCTATATTCATTCATACCTTTCCTCTTCAGCTTCCAGCAACTTCCTATAGGCACTTATTTCCATATCAAGGCCCAGTTTCACATCCAATAGTTTTTCATGGTCACTGAGCTGCTCCTGCATCAGAGTTCTTATCTCTTCCACTTCCTTCTCCTTTGCAAAGAGTGTTTTGCAACAGTTTTCCTTTTCCTTGGCCAAGATGTCTTCAAGCTCTTCCACTTTCTTCTGCCATGCTCTAGACTAGAAAACATTGAAAACATCAGCAGTGCAAAGGAAAGCTCACTTAATTCTATTGAGGCTATAGAATTAAAAATATTAGGTTAAGCAACTCCCTTCTGAATTCAAACTTGCCTATATTTAACTTCCTGTTCTCCTACTGACGTGCGGAATAACGACTTTAGAACCAATAAGGTTATAAAGAAGGTATGTTTATTCAGCGCTGGGTGCACGGGGGATGGCTCCTCCACAAGTGTGCACACCCTAGGACTATTGGCAAGGTCATTATATGCCACAAAGTAATACATATTCATCTATACTGCTGCATATACATTAGGTGTCCAAGGATAGGGAGGGGTTATTACAATTAATCATTAGCATAGTTGCCCCCCGAGCTCCTCCTTGTTGCACTTGCGCAGTATCTTCTGGTGGTCATGGGCAGGGGTCTTTGGGATGAAGGCCGTATGTCTTCCTCGCTGTGCACTTTTCACCTCTTGGCATTCCTTTCTGGGGTCTGCACCAGGGTCTTGTCTTCTCTGCAAGTTTCTGTGGGAGCATCCTCCCACACAATACATTCCCTCACAATTCAGGCCGAAGTAAACATCCGAACGTGCCAGAAGAGGAGATGAGGTGGAGAGTCTTGATTGAGCCTGGGCCAAGGAGCCAGTCACTGTTCAGACCGTGGCAGGCTCCAGTACAACTGACCAATCATCAGTGCAACCCTGGACATGCAAAATCCGGGCTAAGGGTATATAAGTGCCTGTAATTTCTAATAAAGTTGAAGTTTGCTCTATCAATCATATTGATTGTCTTGCATTCTTCCCTCGCTGGAATACACCTCCACTAGCCGGCCAGGCACACCGACATTCCCTCACAATTCAGGCCTTATCTATACATTCCAAGCCTTATCTATGCTAAGCAGTGCCATCCTGTTTACTCCTTGTGTGTTAGTCCTTTCTACCAAGGTAGGCCATCTGGCTTTCCTCAGATCAGTACCTCAAATTCCAATGGAACTTACAACATACTGCTCCATTCTTCTGAGATTTGACAATGTTATGACACTTGAGTTTACTCAGTTGAGAAAAATTAAGCCTAAGAGTCAAACCATTTAAGACATTCTGGACAGGACACAGAATCAAAGAGCAGCTCTGTGTACTTCACATCCTATGTAAGTAATTAGCTTTCAGATATCAACTTCCTGCTTCAGTTTACTGCTGTCAATTCTGAATTGAGAAGTTCCTCTAAAGGAATAGGGGTCGTCAGTGAAAACCTGTCTGTCTGCTTTCATAGTCTTCAAGGCTTGCTTAAAGTACAGTGTTAAGTGTTTCATGAACGAAGCTAATTTGCCCCATACTTTGAAAATCACATCAAGGCAGTAGAAATGAATATTGTAGATACCAAATGGAATCCTTATCAAAGAAAGGCCAAATAATGACAGCTTTAAGGCTTTCTTCTGGTTGACAGTCTCTTGAGTTTTTTTTACTTAAAGGACACAGGAACCAATGCCTCATAATTACCTTGGCCAGCTAAGTCACCAAGTTTCCTAAGCAGGCACTCCACTTCAGAAGTCATTATAGTCCACAGACAATGAAAACAGGGAGTCTAAAAGGCTGACACACAGGACCAGCATAACTGATCATTAATGTCAGGAGCCAGATAAGGAATTAAATAAAAGTGCCACACAAAAGATCCCAGTGGAAACTACTACAGAGCTCAGTGTTGGTAACTCAAACCAGACCAGCACTGGTGATGAGACTTTTGCAAGAGAACAGTGCTGGCAAATGGAAAAACTCTGCTGGTTGACATCACTAGCACCAGCAGTGATGGTAGTTGGGACTACAAAGCCCCAATAGCACAACAATAAAATGGGGTTTTGGGTGGACAATTGTGCTCAAACTGGCAGAAGTTCATTTCAATAGCCAACACCTCTGCAAATTCAGAAGCAAGTTCTCTGAATCTAACTGTCACTCTGAAGTAAACAACAGATCATAGGTAATTAATTGAAGTAAGAAGGCAAGTAACTAGATACACCTGTAGACTGAACCACCAAAAGATGGCAATCTAAAGGCAGAAATAAGTAGAACTATTGATCCAGTTCTTCTGTGACCTCATGCATATTCATTACATCACCTGCTCTTTTCCAGAGCCTAATTTGTCTCTTAACAGAAAACTGGGAAGACTAAAACTAGTATCTGCCAAGTTACTTGAAAAATCATGAAATAACATCCCCTGCATTTATATTCTTCACTTGAAATACAGAGCATTTTGAAGTCCTACAAGAATCTACTGTACAGAATTAATACAATTCAAAATATATCACAGAGAGGATCTAAGCCAAATATTACTAACATTTTGTATGTTTTAAAATAATGTTTTGTTGCTTTTTCAACTGATTAGTAAGTTACAAAAGCCCACTTCAGAACCAACTCCTAGCATTTCTCATTTTCACTCTAGATCTCCACTATAGCACATGACATTACTCCCATCAAGTAAGCTAATACTGAATGTATAGCTTGTCATAGGCTGGGTCATACTCCTTTGGGTGTGGTCTGTGCTCTCTGATCTTGGTTTCTGCTCAAGACCTTGCTCTGAAAACATTCAAGTATAGTTATTTAATGTATTTTCTCAGTCTCACTTTTTATCCTAATCCTAGTAAGTTCCTACTTCTTTTTAGAGTTCTAAATGCAAATGGGATCTGGGACAGAAAGACTCCAGCTCTATCTTTAAATATTGCTTTGTGGAATTCCATGCTAGGCTGTTCAATTACTACAGATCAGAACTAAATTGCTTAGAATCTCAAGAACATTTAATACAGAGCCCTTGTCTAAAATGTCCCATCTATGTGCAAAAGTTTTCACAAAATCCAGTTAACAGTGCCACCTTTAATACTTGCACTGTAGCAGGATGCACAAGGAATTCAACTGTGTTGAAAGGAAACATTGAGAAATGTGAAACAGTACAGTAGAACAGAAGACAAATTCAAATAGTGATGCTGAAAATACAAGTTAAGGGAAGGACAGTCCTTTAATTAAAAAAGTCAACAGCTGTAACTAGCAAGACTGAGCAAACAGCTTGTTACCTCTTTCTGAAGGCTGCTAACATGAGAAGACAGATTTTCAATTCGCACGTGACTTTCATTCAGTTCTTCTCTTACTGACTTAGCTGTGGATTCACTCCTTTCAGAGGCAAGCCTAGCATTTTCAAGCTGCAGTAGATCAAGGTAAGACATCAGTTTCACAGTAACTTTTATAGAAAGACTTAAGTCCCTAAAAACTACACACAGCACTAAACCATAAAGTTCCTTTATGCAGCTCTAACACGATGAATCATCTTTTATTTAGGGGTTAAATATAGTGGCTCAATTACCATGTTGGATTGCCCTACTTGAAAATCCCAATCTTCTGAATATTTATTGTAGGATTAGTAAATTTCCCTTATAGACATTACTGAAGTTGGACTACTAAGTTCAGTTTTCATGCTGGCCAGTGTTTATCTTTACATACTTGATTACTGTTGATCTGATTTTGAGTATGCTTGAACAGAAGAAACTGAACTGAAATTGCCAGTTCTTTAAAAAAGCAAACTTATGTTTTCAGCCAACATGTTGGCTGAGCCAACAATTCATAATGTGCCTTCAGATTCAGTATCAGTGCCAGGTGTCACTACTGCTTCATTCTGTCACAACTTGAAGCTCAAATAACTAGCTAAATCCACTTGAGCAGCATCAGACTTATTATTGAACTTGTAGTTGCAGATGAAATGGAATCTAAAAAAGCTTTAAAGTAAGAGTCCAAAACCACAGAAACTGTATACCTGAAGAGATGGAACAAGAATGTCTTAATTATGAAAGGCTTTTTTAGACTAAAAATATATTTAAAATTTAAAGTAAGATATAGCAAAAATATAAGTTTTTCCACGTCAGATTGAAGCCCTGAACATAAGCAACTGTACAAGGTTAATACAGTAAAGACTGAAAAGACTGAAAACTATGCTAACAAATTCAGTTTGCTTCAGTTTTTCTTCTGTGACATCCCACCTTGTTTTTAAAAACACAAACTGCAACAAGTATAGTCACAGAAACCAGGTTGAGTTGAGACATCAGAACCTCTCCTGACAGAAATGTAATCTAGGCTCATAGTTGAGGAAGGAAATTATGAAGTATAACTGATTTCAACTTGAGTATGCTTCTTCTATAGAAGAGTGAAAAGCAGAAATCATTTGGTGTAGTAAAACTTTCCCTTGTTTTGTACAGGATCAGAGAACTCAGAATGCTGTATTCTCAACAGGCCCTTCTATGAAAATAGTTTTATACAACTACAGGAGCCCATATGTTGATCACCAAGACAATGTTACAGCTGACACAAACTTTCCCCATAATAAACCCAGTACTAGCACTTTTCCACACAGTTCACCTTCACATGGTTCTTCCTACTCTTACATTATTGCATGTTTTGGGGATTAAAGCTGCTCCCAAAATGAGACCTGAAAATGTAAATTCATATTAAAAAACACAGTAATTTTAAACCAAGATCCAGAACAAAATCTTCTATAATGCAAGTAGGTAGTTTATCTTTCCATTAAAATAAAAACCACATCAGACAACTGCATGAAAAATATGTTCTCACTTGGGCAGAGTAAGTCTGTTTAAGTTCTTCTTGGTAAAGCTTCAGTTGTACATCATGCTGTTGTCTCATTTCGTGAAGAGCCTGGGCCAATTTTTGTTGATATTCAACACGATATCCAGAAGAAGAAAGCTGAGCCAAGGAAGCTTCATATTTCTTTTTTGCTTCATTAATTTCCTAAGAGAGAAAAAATAAAACATTCAGTAAGTACAAGACAAACTATCCACTGAGCAGCTAGCAATACAGATTTTAGCTAGTCTTGTGGACCAGCACATTAGTCTGACATTGAAACTCTCAGTAGAAACACAGGCTCATTTCTCCTGTCTGTTCTGCACACAACCTAATTTTGCAATAGCAAGTGATTGAAATAAGAGCTAGGATACCATCAGAATCTAAAGTCACATTTCCTTCTGAGAACTGTCTGCATTTTCAACAAATACATCTCAATATGATTAGATTTTAGAAATACATCCTGACTTTCTTTAGGAGTCTTGTACAAAATGGAAGTACTGTGAAATAAAATTAATTTTCATTAAGCAACATTTTCCCATATATGTGTATGCTTACCCATGGTGTCTAGAAAAAAGGATTTCAATAATGTGAACAAAGATAAAAATACAATTAGCAAGGAACAAAAGACAGTATGGTTAGATACATCTGGTACTGCTCTAAGGTTCCTCCTGGAAAGCTTAAAAGTACTGCTAGTGAAGGGGAGAGCGCCATCACAAGCATCCTATTAGAAAGTTCTGAAATTAAAAACCAGCATCTGTTGAGTGTTTTTCTCCACTTTGCGAAACAGAGATTTTATGAAAAATAATTAACTTAGTAATTACTATGGAAAAGTCATGTACATCACAATGCCATGGGCAGAATTCACCATGAAACAATGGGATATGTGAAGCTACTTTATCACAAGAGCTGACTTTTTTCCTGGAAACCTAAAAAAGGTTAGAAATCTGCCAACTACAGGTAAAACCTGTTGAGTAAGAGTTCAGACCAGACAACTTTCTGAGGTCCTTCCCAACCTAAGTTATTGTAGTATTCTAGAATAAGCACCCCAGTTGTCCTCTTCCCTTTAAAAATGTGAATTCTTGAGACTGAAGCCTTTACCTCCTCATACATGACTTTACGAAATTCCAGGTCCTCAAGGAGAGACTGACAACGGTTTTCAAGATCGACCTTTAATAAGGTTTCACTTGCGAGTTTCTCCTTGGCAGCAGCTAATTCAGCTTCCAGCTTTAAGAAAAAAATCAGCACAATTAAGTAGCAGAATTTGTGTAATGCAACGACCTAAACTACCTAGAAGTACAGCTAACTGCATGTTATGGTTGAACTTGGCAAGCAAATCCAATATTCACATCATTGTCATTCCCCAAAACCCTTTTGAAATCACTTGCACTGGTAAATTCTAGATATTTCTCATTTGTAACTAGCATTAAAGTGCTTCTTAGCAGTTTTCCTTACAAAACTTCTGTTTTTCTACATAGCAAATAGTTTCCTGGTCTACTCAACTCATCTTCCTAGGGTGGTGTTAAGATCACAAATCATGTTTCAATGGGTTAACAAAACTAGCATTCCCCCCACCTTGGTTCTATCAGATGCCTGGAAGACCAAGAACCACAGGCAGAACCAAAAGGAGGGCAGAGAATCACAAACTGTTACTTGTTAGTTACTCATTACAGACATTTGTGAAGTCAGTCTCTCCCCAGAACAGTTCTACAATTGGTCAAGTTTATTTTGACTCTTGATCTGCTTTCTTCAACACAAGTACAACCCCTTGCAATTTCAGAATCTATTACACCATTCCTTGTGTTAATAAAGTGAACAGTAGTGGATATGGTCACCTACTCAACATTGTTTCCAATGTTGACACTGAAACCATTTATAATTGTAACTACATGACAGGTTTGAACCATTTTTTTTTTTACTACCGAGTTGCATTTTACCAGAATGACAGCTCTTATTATAAATACATCTCGCTTATGGACAGAAGCTTGATGGTTAAGTTTCTTCTTCTCACCTGCCCAATTTGATCTTTCAAGTTGTCGGTCTCTCCTTTCAGATTCTGATTCTCACCAAGGAGTGTGGCCAGTGCAGTTTCTTTAGTGTTGAAGGCTATTTCCAGCTCTCTGAGTTTGACATTGATTGTATTTAGATCATATTCCTTTTTGATGTAACTGGAAAAAACAGAGTGGTAAGAAAAGCTAAAAATGCTGTTAAAGTAGACTAATAAAATAAGGTACAATCTGAATCCTGAACTTGAGAAACATCCAACAAAAAAACTTTCTGTATTGTCTTAATTTACTCTAATTTAAATGAACTCCTGCTTTCTCATCTGAGAGAAGTAACTTACCTTTGTAGCCTCTTATCCACAGAGGAACTTGTGCAGATGCACTGTCTAGGCTGACAAAAGCCCATTTCCAATTAACAGACCAGCTTCTCAGTGAAAATCGCTCCTTACTATCTATAAACAAGTCCTCCACAAGCAGCAGATGTAGCATAGTGAACAACTATGCAGGACCCTTCTAACTATACATAATGGCAAAGTTCCACAGATTGATGGAAAGATACTCAAACCCTGTCTTTATGACTGTGCCATCACTGAAACACCATTGGTGTGTAGGTACAGGTGTCTTTCTTTACAAAAGCAAATACACAAGCTTTTGAAATTCCCACTTAGACTTTGTGTCTACACAAGCAGTCAAACAGTTTCTACAGGTTTATTCCATAAAATGGCATATACAAAGAAAATTAAAATAAGAAATGCCACCAACACAAACTCATTGTCTTCAGCCTAAGATAATTATTCACAAATAATGCTACAACAGGCTATTATCAAAAACAGGGGAAAGGAAAATCTTGATCAGGAATCATAGTGACTGACATTTCGCTGGCACAAGCAGCTGTGTTTAAACGTGCAATACAAATTCTTCCACCTTGAAGATGATTCTTTTTCTCTCTGGGATACCAGCAATTCTTTAGTAAGAGCACTAGCATTCAGGAGTTCTAGATGTTTATAATCAAACTATGAACATTTTACAAGAACTGGCAGATGCAGGCTCGATGAGACAACTGCTTTCACATTCTTCCTCACTCCTCACACTTCTCTTTGCAGAAGTGAAAAAAGTTTACAACAGTAAACAGAGGATACTTAAAATTGGATACAGATTATTAAGAACAAGATCCAAAAGTGCCAAAACAGTACGTTCACTACTTTTAAAATAATTGTACTGCTTATAAGAAACAACAGAAATACTTCTCAGCAAAATAAAGCTAATGTAAAATCAACACACAGCTTTAAAATCACAGACTCTCAGATTTAAATTATGTTCTTCCAAGACTACATGCGAGCACATGAAATTAACATCATGCTCAAGAGAGGCGTGCGCACAAAGGCTTGTAAAAAGCTATCTGTACAAAGAAAATTAGTGTGTGGCTGTCCTGGCACTAGAGCCACAAGATGGCAGGCTTTACATAACAGACTTAGCACTAGCAAACCCCGCGCCTGTTGAGTAACATCACACTCAGAGGAAGGCTGCAAGAGCCTTGGACACAGGCAAGACTCCTCAGCACTCCACTCTTTTTTCCATGTCAAGCTCCTCGGCACTCTCCAGTCCCTCCATGGCATTTTATGTACCACTTCTTAGACTCCTTAGTTCAGAGCAGTTGGGTCCACAGCTCAGAAAAAAAAACAGAGAACATAGGTTTTGGACAGATGGTCTCCTACTTCCAGCTCTCTACAGTATTCACTAGGTATCTCTGTCCTGTCCCTCCCACCCAGGCCTGCAGGAACTTCAGCACAAAGGGAAGCTGTACAGCAGAGGACCAAAAAGAGGGAAAGAAAGGTATTTTGCTACTGTAGGTCTGTAATAAAAATCTCTCCATCACTTTCTGGGAAGTATGAAGGCTCACATTAAGCCTTTATTTAGTCATCACTGCTGGATAAAGCTTTACTCAAAACATAAAGAAAATTCCACATGGGCTCCCACAAGACTCTGTGATGAAACCAAGCCTATCAAGTTGGATCCTGAAACTAGGAAGCTGCACATAGACAGGGACACAGCATGCAGCCCTAAATTATGCTGGAGTCTGAAACAGGAAAACTCCTCACGCATCTTAAAGCTACTGGCTTTTAAATTTTTAATGCAAGTAGCTCTACCACTTGCAAACAGGTAGCCAGCCAAGAAGAAAGCTTCTGCAACTAAGGCAGCAGAGAGAAAGATGAAAAGAGAAAGACAAAAAGATGAAAGAGAAAAATACTGAATTAAAACCCAATAGACTATGTGTACCATTAAATTAGGTATTATCAGTTGCATCAGCCCAAAATACCTTCCTTGCTTGTTTGCAACTAAACTGCCTGTGAAGTAATCCTGTAATTTAATGCATCTGAAGACACAGAAGGGGAAAAAAAGAATTAAAGCACTACTAGTTGTTAGCATTATCAGTTGTCTGAGACAGCTCATCTGAACACACAGAATGAAAACAGGAACTGGAGCTCAATGCTTCAAACACTGAAAGCCAGATGAAATCTCAGCAATTCAGCACTGTGATCCCAGCCCTACAGCAATATGGAAAACAAGATCAGAGATGCCTCTGTGAATTATAAGAGCTAGCATAAATGTATACAACATACTCTTCACTCTTACACCTACTAATTTTTACCAGGATGACCTTCAGCCTCTAGACAACAGCTAGCTTCTTCCTCCACAGAAAGCCAAAGCTGCACCTCAAAATAACAAATAAAAAAAACTCCCAACACATTCCTGTTGAAGTGTTCAGAAATTAGCCAGAAACTACTCCCAGTAGTTTGGCTCACGAAAGAGAAATAAAAGCAAAGAAGTAATTGCTGACTTGACTTGTTGTCTCTTCCGACTTTCAGGTGCAGAAATCTTTTTAATCATGGAACTGCTTTTTTTTTTTTAAATAGCACACAATAGGATCTGCCCCCAAAAAACCCACCAGTTTCCATTAATTTCCACTGCACTCCGTGCACTTCAGAAGCCTAACCCACAACGTTTAACTCACGTAGACACTACAGAGCATAAATAACAGCCCCTCTCCTGCCTGGCATAACCAGCACAACCATCCCATGGAGCGACAGCCACAAACGTTCTAGGAGAGGCTCAGCACCGTGCGTGCACCTTGCAAACTCTGGGGACAGCTGGCCATGAATCCACCTTTTGCAACAACTGAACATGCAGCAAAGCGAAGAGAAAGTCTAGTTATTTTTTTTAAGTACGCCTGACTGGGGTATCTGCTCCTCTCCGTCCGTTAGTTTTTCACTTGACACCTTTCGGAAAGGACGCCCGGACCCCCAGGAGCCTCGGCACGGGCTGTCGTGTCCCCGCGGGCTTCATCCCGCAGCAGCTCGTACCCCGGGGATGCGGGATGCGCGGGGAAAGGACGGGGATGCGCGTGGGCGGGGGTGC